AGTGCTCTCCGACTTTATCTCTAAGCACTGCTTCAGCTGCATTCCACAAATTTGAAATGTTGTGTTTTCATTTTAATTCAGTTCAAAGTACTTTCTAATTTTTTAGTTCTTCTTTGACCTATGTGTTATTCAGAAGTATGCTGGTTTTTAAATATTTCAGAATTTCCCAGATATATTTCTGTTACTACTTTCTCATTTAATTCCATGTGGTAAGAAAACATATTTTGTTATATATTTTTAAATTTGCTCAGACATTTTATGGACAATTGTATGCTCTATCTTGGTAAATGTTCCATGTGCAGTTAAAAATAATGTATACCCTGCTATTGTTGGGTGACTGTTCTATGTCAATTAGGTCAATTTGGTGATAATGTTGTTCAAGTGTTCTATATCCTTACTGGTTTTCTGTCTACTTGTCCTATATGTTATTGAGAGAGGGGTTGCAATCTCCAACTATAATTATGGTTTTGCCTATTTCTCTTTTCAGTACTAACAATTTTTGCTTCATGTATTCAGAAGCTCTTTTACTAAGTGCATAAACATTCAGGATTACTATATCCTCCTGATGTATTTCTTTACATTATGAAATAAAATGTAGTGGTTTTGTTTTGTCTCTTTAGTACAGGTATCACCAAATTATGGCATTTTCTTCCAAACATTTTCTGTATTTTCCAACATAGTTGAAAATTACGTTGTATGCACCAATTTATATCTTAAAATTTTTGGTGTGTTACATATATACCAGAGTATATATGTGTATAAATATGCATAGAGTTTTAAAAAATACAATGAAAAAGCCACGTATACACACACTACTTAAGAATAGTACCAATGCCTTTGAAGTCATCTGTGCATCACTCTCTTCCTTCCAAAAAGTTATCTTCACTTTTGTATTAATCATTCACTTATTTTTCTTTAGTTTTCCCACTTATGTATTTTTAAATAACATTTCCCATTTTAGCCATTATATAAAAGAAATTATATTATATATTCTCTATGAATTATTTGCTCAACATTATGTTTTTGAGATTCATCCATATTAATGTATATAATTGTAACTCATTCATTTTTGACTAATGCATAAAATTCTGTTCAAAGGATATGGATAGACCACAACTAATACATTCTTCAACTGACAGACAGTTGGGTGTTTCAAATTATTATCTTGCTGTAACAAATGATGATTCAATGAAGAATGTGAGTCGTGGGTCCTGGTGCACATGTTCAAAATATCCTGTTTTCTTCACTTAAGTTTGTTTCTGTTTTTGATCATTCTTTCTTATTCTTTTTAATATCTGTATGTTATCTCAACAAGTTTATGCTCTGTTGTTAAACACCTAGAGTTTGTCCCATTTTTTTGAACTTTATATACAACTCTGGGGGGGAAAATACATTTTTTGCACAGAATTCTGGGTTTTTTTTAGGTCATTTCATTAAAAAGGATTCCCAGACGTGGATTTCTTGAATCAAGGCAGAACCGATTTTTATTCAGTGGAAGGGTTAGGGTTTTTATTGCTGAAATACACAAAGTCATCCCCTTCCAGGTAATTGTTAACCCTTTGGGATCATAGATCCTTTGGAGACTATGATTAAGGGTATGGACCTGTTCAGAAACACACACACACACACACACACACACACACACACACACACACACACACACACACTGTATTCACAAACCAAACAGCATACAATCTAAACAGTTTCTCAGACCCTCTGAAGCGCATATGCTGACATCTCTATTAAATTAAAAATATTGTCTTGCCCTGCCAGTGTGGTTCAGTGGATTGAGCATTGTCCTATGCACTAAGAGGTCCTTCGTTCAATTCCCAGTCAGGGCAAATGCCCAGGTTGCCAGTTCAATCCCCAGTAAGGGGCGTACAGGAAGCAGCCGATTGACGTTTGTCTCTCATTGATGTTTCTCCCTCTCCCTTCTTCTCTCTCTAAAGTCAATCAAAACATATTTAAAATTATATTGTCTTACCCACTGAATATGATTTTCTTATAATACTTCACCAAATAAGTCCACATACCAACTCTTGTATCTGTCAAGTACCTTTTGTTTTATACCATCATTTACTGAGCACCCACATGTGCCAGCACTATGCCAGATACTAAAGACAGGAGAATAATTAATTGCCCCTGGCTTCAAGGAACAGAGTCTATTGGAGAAGACATAAAATAAAAAGTATTTACAGTAAAATATGTACAATAAGAGAGGTATTCATTAGACAAAGTGGAGATACCAATTATGGATTGATCAACTTTCTTTTACCAAGGGTTTGCAAAGAATGAAGTATTCTCTAGGACAGTGATGGCGAACCTATGACACGCATGTCAGAGGTGACACGAGAACTCATTTTTTTGGTTGATTTTTCTTTGTTAAATGGCATTTAAATATATAAAATAAGTATCAAAAATATAAGTCTTTTGTTTTACTATGGTTGCAAATATCAAAAAATTTCTATATGTGACACGGCACCAGAGTTAAGTTAGGGTTTTTAAAAATGCTGACATGCCGAGCTCAAAATGTTCGTCATCACTGCTCTAGGACAAGCATGTCAAACGCAAAGGCTAACATGAGCCAAATAAATGAGGCATGTGGCCTGCCGGCCGCGAGTTTGACATGCTTGCTCTAGGATGCTATAGATCAGTGGTTCTTAACCTGTGGGTCGCGACCCCTTTGGAGGTCGAACGACCCTTTCACAGGGGTTGCCTAAGACCATCGGAAAACACATATATAATTACATATTGTTTTGTGATTAATCACTATGCTTTAATTATGTTCAATTTGTAACAATGAAAATACATACTGCATATCAGATATTTACATTACGATTCATAACAGTAGCAAAATTACAGTTATGAAGTAGCAACAAAAATAAGTTTATGGTTGGGGGTCACCACAACATGAGGAACTGTATTAAAGGGTCGCGGCATTAGGAAGGTTGAGAACCACTGCTATAGATAGAAGAAACAGCACCAGCAAAGACAGAGACATTATATAACCTAGCATATATAGGAAATTATACATGAATTTTAACATGGTTGGGTTAGAATGGTAGTGAACATAAGGAGAGGTTAAGGCTCTTCCTTATTTGGGATAGAGACTAAGAAAAACAACACTGATGTATAAGACTTTAGCAACTGATCTAACAACACAAAGGAAACCACAAAAGAAGATTTCCTCCCAAATACTTCCTTTATTACTCAAACCTACTCTTGCTACATACAAAGGGAAGACTTTGCCTATTTTTTTCTGCAGCTATCTGAAGTTTGGTGTTCAACATACAAGGTTTAAAACCTATCTATTAATACAAATTGGCAACACATTTTAAATTTAACATTGTTTGATGGCTTTCATTTGGTTAGCAGAAGTATTAGGAAGCCTGTACAATAATTATGACAATAATTTCTTCATAAACTTATCTTGAAAAACGAACATAGGTAAAATTATAACTTTTAAACATTCACTGAGAATGCTGCTTTTTAGCCTGTCAATTAACACTCCTAATACTATCTCATGAAAAATATTTTGTTTTGAATTTAACTTAAACTATTTGTGATTGAGCATAACTGTTACTCTGAAGTTACTGATTTAATTATAGTGAGTCATGTGTAATTTTATATCCCTATGGAAAATGAATACAACCAATTTTGACAATGCAATCTAGTAAATATCTTTATCTGATGGACTTTCATCAAAAGTATGACTACAATACCATAAAAGTAATGTTTTTCCTCTTGTAGTAAATTTATAGATTTACTTTCTCTTGAAATTTTAAGTTGCTTAGATTTCTGCCATGCTTATTCTGTTTTCTTAAAACAACACCCAATTCATGTACATCATATATCTACATGTATAGAACCCTATGTATAAATTATAAAATGGGATTATAAATAAAACTCATTTTCCTGTGTGACTAGAAAAGAAAAACAGGGTTATAAAGTTTAAATATCAACAAGTGATGTTGAATAAACCAGTTGAAGTTTATAAACCTGTCAGCACAAAGAAAGGCCTTAGTTTTTCTTCTTTTTCAAATACCCCCTTGGGTCTCCAAATGGCATCCAATTAAACACCTCTAAACTATATCAAAATAGAGGATCTCCAAGGGTATTTTAAAATAATAAAAAGATGTACTCTCATTATCAGTTATCTAATAAACACACAGAACATGGTTGTAGCCCTTCAAATTTATACTAAAAGGAATCCAAAAGGAGCAAGTTTTTTTCCTCTAACATTTCCATGGAAATCCCAATGGATCTGAGGGGACAAGCAAAAGCACAAACAAGCCCTAGCCAGTTTGGCTCAGTGGATAGTTGGCCTGTGGACCGGAGAGTCCCAGGGTTCGATTCCAGTGAATGGCACATGCCAGGGTGAGGCTCAATCCCCAGTAGGGGGCATGAAGGAGGCAGCCAATCAATGATTCTGTCTCATCCTTGATGTTTCTATCTCTCTCTCCCTCTCCCTTCCTCTCTGAAATATATATAATTTTTAAAAAGCACAAACAAGAATATACGTTAACATATGGGTTTTCCCCCTCAGGGTGTGTTGTTTTGATTTGTTCTAAGAAGGGGAATTTTCTTCAATGTGGCACTTTTTCCCCAAGTGGAAAACATTCTTTTTAAAAATATATACTTTTCTTGATTTCAGAGAGAAAGGGAGAGGGAGAGAGAGATAGAAACATCAAGGATGAGAGAGAATCCTTGATCTGCTGCCTCCTGTATGTCCCACACTGGGAATTGAGCTCCAACCCGGACATGTGCCCTGACCGAGTATCCAACTGTGACCTCCTAGTTCATAGGTCAAAGCTCAACCACTGAGCAACACTCACCAGATGGAAGCATTCTTTAAAAGAAATTCTTAAAACAAAAAGCATAGTTAACAAGTGAATGGTTCAAGATTTTCATGACATGGTTTGAAAATAAATGATCTGTGACATATATCAAAGGACTTCCAACCACTGACCACATAAAAAAGTAAAACAAGAAGTCTACAATAGGTACAAATTATATACATTTATTTTTTAATAATTTTAAATAACACTCTTGTATAAATTCTTTTATATATTCAAATCATACACAAATTTAGAAATGCATCATGAAGCCTAGTACAACATAAGTATGAGAACACATTTTTAAAATTTGTGTTAGAATTTTAGTGACATAAATACAAGTTTAATGTTTCAGAAACATTCCCTAATTGCTTGGGCTGAAATTTAATGTATTACAGAGTGCTTGTGCCTAGCATTAAAATTTAACTTTAAATCGTTTAGTTTTTGCATTAACTTAAATCTGGAGCCCTGGGCTCACATTCCAGGGCTGCTGTCGCAGTTACTGCACGTAGGACAGATTCCCAAATGCTTTTGAAAAAGCATCATTCAGCCACTGACATTTTAATGATCCATAACCCGTAGTCCATTTGATATTTGACTTCTTCAGATGAATCAGCATGTTCTTCCTGCTTTTCCCCTTGGCATAGTCACGGCTCAGGGTTAAAGAGAAAACTTGCATTCATCTTCCATTATTACTCCCCTGCACACACCAAACTCATTTTAGCTCCCAAACTCCTTACTATCAAGATCATAACAGACCCAAGCTTCTTCATGGATGAGGCCAGAAATGCTTTCCTTACTCTAACAGGTTACATTGGGTTGCTTTTTACTTCTCTGAACTTTTGTCAGAGAGCTTTCCTTGAGATGCGTAAATTCAACTCCTATCCATATACTTCAAAATGTATGAACCAGGGAATGTTCATTACAAGTGGCGTTATGTTCCCCACATGTCCTACAAAAAAGTATAGGACCAAGGTAAATAATCTAATAACCCAATCCCAATTGAGGCTGTCAGGAGGAAGTACTGTTGTCAGGAGGAAGTAACTTTCTGCCTCCAAAATAACCAACTCATCTGACCAAAATGAAACCGGGGTCAGTGAGTGTTGCTTTAATGGTCAATATTCTTGGGAACATTGGGCTAGAAAGTAGTCATATAATTTGATGCTTTTATAAATCCTCTTCCCCCCAAATCTCCCATTCCATGTCTACTCTTTTATCCTCTCTTAAAATTCAGGTATCCCTAAGAGTAACACATTAAGTCCATAGGACCTTAGTATAAATGAGGTTTAGTTTTTATTATCATTTTTCTCTATAACTGGAGAAATTCTCAACAAAAGACCTCTGGGAGCTAGAGGATAGAGGTGAGGGAGGGGAGGGAATAAGGGAGGACAAACATACTTAACAACACTTAGAGCATCTAACTGTCAGAAATGTTGAAGTGCTTGTTAAAATGAATTAATGAAGATAAAAGCATTACTCAATAGCAGTATCTGTTATTTATCCATAAGATTCAACTAGCCTTATTTGAAAATAAACACATTTCTAATCTCTAGACAAAAACTCTTCTGGTACTAGTCTTTCTAAAGGACTGATGGTATCCTCGTGCTGAATGCCATAGTTCAAAGGATGGATCATGCCTTTAGAGAAATGAATATTGTGTAATGCATTCCATGCTAGTTTTCTAGTCTGATTTTGGTGGTAGATCACTTCATGATTGACTTAAATTTTAAAGCAAAATTATTTCCACCAGAAAAAAGAGGGGACATGAAATATTACTTAAAAATGTTTAAGTCCTTCATTTTATTCCATTGGGAAACATTAAAAACATGATCTAGGACTGTTCATAAGTTTTAAAGGTAAACATTCTTTGTGATTTGTTTTTGCAATTCCTTCTAAGGTCTGTTTCAAGGAATCTCTACATGGCCAGAATCTGGACTGTTTGCCTTTGGTTCATACCCCAATAAACACTCCTTTCTCTATTGGGTTAACTTCTGTTTCTCAAATGTTTATTTCTCACCATCATTAATCCCTGGCTTTGAGGGGTGGTAATCCAGGGAAAGGCAGGTAGGTATGCACTTTGCAAAATTCCTTCAAATGTGCAGTGCACAGTCTATACACACATTGTGTGGCAACTGCTTGGGAATGCAGGTTTTCGCTCCCCGTTTGGAAGGATTAATTCACTTTAATGAAGCACAAACAGGTATTTTTATTTTCTTCTCACCAATACTAGCTTCAGATAGTAATCTTCCTGTGTTCTTTCCACAAAGTCCTTCATAGGTGTATGGCCCTGGATGGCACCTTGTACTTAAAAAATTAGAAACATTCACAGATGGGACTCTTCTTTCCAGCCTTCTTGTGTCTGTGGTTAGGCAATTTCTGCATCAGCATGTAGTTGAAAGAATATGTGCTTCAAATTTAGGAGTCCTAATTCCAAGCATAATAGTGTGTAGCCTCGAACAAGACATTTAACCTCATCTATAAAATGGGGACAGCAATTACTTCCTCAGGGGGCTATTTTGAACAACAAAAGAAACACATATGCAAAGATGCTTTGCAAATGGCAAAGGGCTATAGAAATAACTTATTTTAATGTAATGTAACATAACATAATCTCTACTCTCATGAGCAATGGCCAAATATCCAGAGCACCTCAAGTTACCAGAAGTAGATTATCTGCCTTTACATCCTCCGAAGCATCATCTCCAAACCCTGAGAACTACTCAGTGGTGTCCTACAGAGGGATGGCCAAATTCCAGGTTTTCCTCTGGGGAAGCTGGCAAAGTTGTCAACTTAGATTTCCTAAGTCTAATAAGTCTTTACTCTTTTTTAACCACTTGGACAATTTTCTGTTCTGCTTAATAAATATCTATAGTTATCTTCTGCCTGCTTTTTCTAACTTTAATCCACAATCTGCCTATATCTTAACAGATGAGAGCAACAGTGATGGCCTCTGGAAAAAAACTGCCCCTAAAAACAAGGACTAACCATATCTACTCAACTACAGTACTACCCTCACCTAGACAAGAAGATAGAATTGTAGCCCTGCAGAGAGATGGTACATTCCTCATGGTATATGAGTGACAGGCTATGTTCAAATGTAGGAGATTTTTTTTTGAGCTGGGGAAGATAAATATAAATATTTCACAGGCATGAAAATGGAACGCCAAGTAATACGATGGCTTTTCTTTTGGAACTAAAATATTTATAATTCCTTTGGAAAACTATATTTTACATTAAAAAGCATTTTAATGAGGCTACGTTCCACATTAATCTATATAAAATATAGAGTGGCTAATGTCTAATTAGGTGTGTAGCTTGGAGAGTACAGCCTGTGTTCCAGCTAACAATCACTGACTTCAAAATCTATTGCTTGAATCTGTAAGTCAAAGAACACATAATTCTATGTTTAGAGTGAGAAAGGGAAAGAAAGATTAGAAACATTCAACCTTTTATAAATTTCAACGATGTCCATAGAGGGAATAAGAATGACTGATGCTCACCAGAGTCCCAGCTCTAGCAATATTGCCATCTATTTTACATTATTTTAACCAATCCCCGTATTTTCTTTTTACAACGCCATTAACTGCTGTACAAATACATTCTAGATGATAAAATATGACATGATTTTTTTACAAATAGATACAAATACAATGTTGACCAGATATGCTACATTAAATATATACACCTTATTTCTCTAGAGGCAGGAATATTCCTTATTTTTAGATAATTCATCATTTACACTGAGACCTTAAGGAGGACTATCAGTTCCCTGCTCCCAGATATTGCCTTCCTCTCTGTACCATTAGAAACTTATCTTGTGCCTTAATCCTATCATTGAGCAAGAATTCTGGAAGGAAAAATGAAACCCTTCTAAAGACCTTGTTGGGACTTTTCTGCTCCTATTTTAGAAACAATCAAGATTGTTTATTGTGATACAGCCCAGACATTAGCTTTTCCTCAATGATGTCTTTTAGTACAGTAAATGAATATCGTCCCTGAACCTCCTTTTAAAAAAAGTGTTTCAGGAATGGAGATGAAGTCTTCCAGTAGTCCTCTCCCCCTCCACATCCATCATCCTGTTTCCGCTGGTTGAGTGAACACTCCCCAAGAGTCTATCTGGAGGTCAATGCAATTAGGGCTGCACTATGGGGTTCAGCCTTTCTATACTCCCATGTGGTTTGTACAAAAATATACTTTACTTCAAGTCCTTATTGACAGTGACTGCTTCAAATCTTCATAGTAAACTAAAAGTAATAGGCTAAGTGCATTATGAATTTGTACCTGAAGACTTCGATGCACTATATGCCTTTGCTTTCTCAGCAAACTCTACCCAGGCTTTGTCATGCCCAGGGGCTGATGCTGTCTTAGTGAGCACTGTGGTCTAACAATTCAGGAGAACAGGTCTAAGCTCCTTAGGCTTTGTAATTATGCATGGATGTTGTCAGAGTCAGTTGCCCATTGGGAGCCACTTCATTGCCATCATCTTCCAACAATCCTGACACGTCTGCATTGGGAATGCTGTCATGGTAGCTGCTGAAACTGATATTGTCTTCTTTCAGCTCGATGGTCCAAAAGGGGGCATTGAGTTTCCGGTTTTGGTACTCCCGGTACATATATACAGCCCCCACAAATCCCATCAGCAGCACCACCACAATGATGATGACAGTCAAAATGATGATGTTAAATTGGGTCCATGAAACATCAGCTAAAGCTGACGTGCTGTTTTCAGCAGAGCTTACTGAAAAGATAGTTTGCAAGGTGGTGGGGGTAAATGTACTATTTATAACAGGGGTGGGCACTGATGTGGTCAAAGAGGCATTGGAAACCAAAATGGTAGAACCTTCAGGTGTTGGAACAATAACTTCTGAAAATAAAAACAGAGAATGAAATGTAAAAGACAAAATTATCTAGTTTTAAGAAACAATAAAAGAAATACATGGGAGTGGAAGTTGATATGGCATGTTGACATGATAGTCTTCTTTAAGGTCATGCAAGTTAAAAATAACTTTTAGAGAAATATAGTGAAAAGAATCAAGATTTAGAAAGCCTGATTATTATATGCATGGCTAATATTTAAAATGTATAATATCTATATTAAAATCTTTGGGGAAATCCTAATGTTGGAATTTTCAATCTTTCTTTACTCTTGGATAGATTCATACAAATTCCTACAAAGACAGTAAATATGTCACTACTGAGTTCTAAATCACTTGGTTAAAAGTGACAGGGATAGATGACAATCATTTGAACTACAATAAGTTCAGCATGTCTGATGGCATTTCATAAGGGCAAACTTCTGTTCAAAGGAGACAAAAACGAAATAGGGGGGAAAACTGTATTTCTAGTTACTTCTGAATAACACAATTTAAATGTCCAAAGTTAATGTCAGTCAAGAGAAAAAAGAAACTTCCTTTAATTTCATGTGTAGTAATTCTTTCTTGTGTAGATTTTAGCTATTTTATAATTAACATACTACACTTTGTACTTCTAATGTAGTATAGCTCAGTGGAAATACCAAAGGCTCTAGAATTAAGTAGAAGTGTGTGGTTATAGGTAAGTCAGTTAATCTTTTTAAAACTGAGATTCCTTATCTATAAATGGGAATAATAATATCTACTTTGCAAAGTTATTGGGAAAGATTAAATGAGATAACATACTATATAACATTGTTATTTTTTAATGTTTACAGTGCTTGGCACATAGTAGTCATTCAACAAAATAATTACTTTTATCTTTATAATTCATCACCATAATCATCCACATCAATTTATCCTAAAAAGAGGCATGTTTTACATTATTTAATAACTAATAATCACCACAGTCCTGACAGCTAACTGTAGACAAGGTATGCCTCCAAGTGGGAAAGAGAAATGAGTGACAGGATCTCCAGGCTAGTGCTGAGGTTCAATCTGAGTTTCATAGCCTGGATCACAAGAGAATAAGGATATCAAGAAAATGGCAGAAGGACAACCCTTGCCACAGGCTAAGTGTCCATCAGCCCAAAATTCAACATCTGTCAGAATATCAAAGGGTAGTTTGTAGAAGAACGTGGTCTAATCTCTCTGTGACCTAGTAAAGACTAAATATTTTTAACTCATCCTGAATTTCTAATCATTAATTTGTATCTAAACTTTCCTGAACCTCCCTATAAGAAACATTTTGCCACTTGAGTAACCTTTTCTTTTAAAAATCAAAAGGAATATTATTACTATTTCCTCTATTACACATGGGAAAACATAGGCCCAAAGTTAGGATAGATGCTAAAACAAACTCATTTTTCTCAGCTGGAACTTCTAACCAGATTAGAAGTCCCTATTTAAAAAGACCTTTGTTGATCACTGGAGGTGATGAGAATACAGGAAGCAAAGGATAAAAAAAAATGATTGGACTTTTAAATTATTAACATAAAAATAAAAGTAGATGAATAGAAAATGTGAAAACACTGCAATGACTTGGTCTTGGTCCTCAAATTTCTGGAGTTGATTTTGGAGTATCAGGAGAGCAGCAGGAATGGAAGGAATTCTCTTTAGGCAAATATCTATCAAAATCTATTTCCAGAAAACTCCTCTTGTGGGATTAGAAGGTTTTATAAAGCAAAAGGTAGCTGTCCTGAAATTTTCAATGCTAGGCTTAGATATTAAATTTACAACTTTAGGTGAAGTTTACCTTTCTTGATGCAATTTTCTTCCAGGTCTCGAACATAACCTTCTAGGCAGTTCTCACACAAAAACCCAGTGGTGTTATGGAGGCAGTTGATGCACTCTCCATTCTCCGGCTTGCAAATCTTTGGAGTTTTAATTGGGTCCACGTGGCCATGACATTGGCACTTCATACAGATGCTGTCATAATTGTAATAGCCATTTTCACATTTATTGCAGTTCTGGCCTGTGTAACCCTCTTTACACTGGACACATTTAGGTTCCAATTCACCCAATTCTAAAACAGAGAGAACACCAAAATAATTTAGTCCAGTCTCAAGCTCCAATTGAAAATGCAAAACAATTACTAGTTCTCAAAACGGGTTATAAGCTTTCCCTACTACCTCCTCTCAAACTTAAGAGACACATGGAATCAAACTAAAAATCTACACAATTATTTATTAATTGTCCAATTTATTGTGAGAATGATGGGGCCACAGAGAACCCATTTAGTAGAGAACAAAAGAAATATGCTTACATAAGAAGTCTAAATAATTACAGTGAATAGGCACTCAATTTTTTTTTATCCCTTCCTCTTTAGTCATGATAGATTAAATAAAACATGCTTTTAACAAAAACTTCCTCATCCCTCTCTCAAGTCTCATTTCACATATGTATTTGGATTTGACTGCAAATTACTTGAAAGGAAATTTTTGCTGTTTTTATAACTCCCTTTCACCTGCAGCACCCAGAACTTTATGAACACATTTTATACCTATTGATAACTGATTCACTCTTTTTGCTTCTAAAAATAAAGATTTAGAGAAAGGCCTTACCTATGATACAACTGCCTGTAGATGTCACTGCTGAACAAGGGCAGCGAAAACATCCTTTAGTGGCATTGGGACTCTGGTAAAATCCTTCTTTGCATTCTTCACAGTGGTCCCCTTTGCTGTTTCCCCGGCAGTTTAAACAAGCACCTAAAAGAAGTAAATTATTTTAAGAAGTTAAAGATTTACTGTGATAGCACAGTAACTTTATATAAATCATACCTGCAACCAAAATATCTCAAGAGATAACAAGAAAAAGTTATCCAATAGAGATTGGACAGAGGTCAGTTTCTACCCCATCTTACTTCTACATTGGCCAGGTCTGCAAGTTTGCTGCCCCCTACCAGATTGTAAACTCTTTAGGGAAAGGTGATGAGAGTTGCAATAAGCCAGTGATGGCGAACCTTTTGAGCTCGGCATGTCAGCATTTTGAAAAACCCTAACTTAACTCTGGTGCCGTGTCACATATAGAAAATTTTTGATATTTGCAACCATAGTAAAACAAAGATTTATATTTTTGATATTTATTTTATATATTTAAATGCCATTTAACAAAGAAAAATCAACCAAAAAATGAGTTCGCGTGTCACCTCTGACACGCGTGTCATAGGTTCACCATCACTGCAATAAGCCCTTGTTGATTAACTACATACTGAAAGTAGGCTAGCTATTTATAAAGAAAAAATAAAAACAATCTAAAAATCATTGAAAGAAAATAGATAAAACTATACTATTTGAATCACTGGGATACTGAATTAAATAAGTGAACTAAACCTATATGTTATGAACATGAATAAATCTTAAAAATAATGTCGATTGAAAAAGCAAATTGCAGAATGATATATATGGAAGGGGAGTACTTACTTTTTTTGTTTAAGTGTTTTTATTGCTTTCAGAGAGAGGAAGGGAGAGGGAAAGAGAGACAGAAACATCAATGATAAGAATCATCGATCAGCTGCCTCCTGCATGCCCCCCACCAGGGATGGAGCCCAAAACCAGGTCATGTGCCCTGACCAGGAATTGAACAGTGACCTCCTGGTTCATGGGTCAATGCTCAACCACTGACTGAGCCACGCTAGCCAGGCTGAACTTCTTCAACTTTGATTATTTTTATTGTTATTGTCATTAGGAGAGATGGTTCCTTTCTCACTAAACTCAGAGACAAAATTTTGAAAACATACATTGCCACATGCAAAAAGACTTTTCCTCGTTTATTTCACCATTTCATAGTTTATATATAAACCTGTCAAAAATATAGCAAGTACTGATCATGTCTACAGGGCAGAAGGCAAACTTTAACCTGTCAAACAGAAAGAAGGCCAACCTTATATGAACAAGAAAGAGAGTACCAAGAGATAAGGTGAAAGAGAAAGGCAGGGCCCCCTGTTAAGTCACGGAGCACCAGGTCGGCGAGGTGGCCAAGGGCTGAGCGGGTTCTTGGGGCTCCCAGAGGCCTCCTCTAGCATCTACGTCCATACCACTCTGAAAGCTCCCGATCTCGTCTGATCTCCGAAACTAAGCAGGGTCGGGCGTGGACTTGAGTGGACTTGGATGCGAGACCGCCTGGGAATCCCGGGTGTTGTATGCTTTTTTTTTTTTTTGTGCGCGCGCCCCCATCCTCCCTTTGGGGTGTGTGTGTGTGGGGGGGGACCCCTCCCAGGGGCTACTCTGGGAACCGACCCCACCCCAAATCAGGGAATGGTGTCTCCCACCTTACAGACAGCACCCCTGGATTGGAGAGGGCGTGTCTGTTACATGTTTGAATTTTATTCCAAGAGGCCTTAAGCATGGGAATGACATTATCTGGTTGTTAGGTGGAGACTGGACTGTGGTAGGGTGAGGGTTAGGGGATGAGAGAACAGAAGAAGAGGCAGAGATCAGATGAGTGTCAAAGTAGTTCAGAGAGAGGACAGTGGCTTAGACAAGGATGACGGCAGTGATCATGAACAGTGGTCAGACTCTGGGTTTTATGTTGAATGTCAAGCTAAGAGAACTTGCTGATGGATTGGATATTTGCAGTAGGAAAAGAAATAAACAAAATATAACTCCTAGGCTTTTGGACTCAGCAACTGGGTGAATGGTGCCAGTCACCAAAATGAAGAACACTAAGAGTAAAGCAGATTGACTTATAGGGTAAAATAGATTTTTTTGGATTTGTTAGGATTATGATGCCAATTAAAGCCTTCAAGTAGAAATGTCAAAAGTATTGTTAGATCTTTGAGTGTGAAGATCAAGGAAGAAATGTAAATCTGGTCATCAGCACATGTGTAGATGACATTTAAATTAAATCCAGGGGACTGAATGAGATCATTTAGAGAGCATATAAATGGAAAAGATAAGAATGCCAAGGGCTGAGCTCTGAGGCACTCCAGTGCTTACAGTGGAACAGAGGAAGATGTAGCAGAGCCAACTGCGGATGGGGAAAAAGAGCCCGAAAAGTGTGATATCCTAAAGTGAAGAAAGTCATTGAGGAGTGAAGGAGTGTTCAACTCAGTCAAGCTGCCATGGAACACTATGAATACATGAAGGAGCTGAATTCTTAAAAAGCACATAATATGAACAGAAAGTTCTAGTTTAAAAAATAGTCCCCCCACCTCCATTTTAAGGAAAACATGTGCTCAATAAAGAAAATCTAGAAAAATATAGAATAGAAAGACAAAATAATTACCCAAAGAACTGTGTCAGTAAGATTTTGAAAGGTTACTTGACATCTCCATATATAGAGGTTTGGATTTTGCTTTTTAAATAATCTAAATGTATCCCACATGTCATTTTTTATACCCTGCTTCTTTCACTCTCATGTTGTTATATATCATTCTTTAAAACATTTTAATGACATAATAACAGTTTCCATTTATTGATTGCTTATAATGAGCCAGGCACTGTATTAAGAGTTTTATAAGTATACTAGAGGCCCGATGCACGAAATTCGTGCAAGGGGCTCAGCTCTCACAGCCCCGGCTGCCTTGGCCAGCCCTCGTAGCCCCGGCTTCGTCCAGAAGGTCGTCTGGACAGTTGTTCTGCTGTTTGGTCTAATTAGCATATTAGCTCTTTATTAAATAGGATTACATTGAATCTTCACAACCCATGAAGCAGTTACTGTCATTATCCCAAATTTCTAGATTAAAAAAAAAAAAAACAGGCTAAGAAACTTGCACAGGTAGATTTCACTTTCTGTGCTCTTAACCATGTATTGCCTAGATAACATAATTTGCTTCATTCCCTGTTAGAAATAGGATGGTCTTGCCCTAACTGGTTTGGCTCAGTGGATAGAGCGTCGGCCTGCGGACTGAAGGGTCCCAGGTTTGATTCCGGTCAAGGGCATGTACCTTGGTTGCGGGCACATCCCCACTGGGGGGTGTGCAGGAGGCAGCTGACTGATGTTTCTCTCTCATTGATGTTTCTAGCTCTCTATCCTTCTCCCTTCCTCTCTGTAAAAAAATCAATAAAATATATTTTTTTTAAAAAAGAAATAGGATGGTCTAATTTTTTAGAATTATAACTACCACTTTGATGAACATCTTTGAACATAAAGTTTTTTATGAATTTAGAATTATTTTCTTAGAATAGATTCCTAGAAACAGAATTACTGAATCAAGAAAGAATTTTTAAGACTTCTGATACACATTGTCAAACTGCTTTCCAAATTTTCCCCCAATATATCTTATCACAAAAAGGTTACTTTAAAGTCTACTTCAATATAAAACACAAGGTATAGAAAAAGACACTAGAGTGAGGAAAAATAAAGACTATGAAAACATCATAAGTGGCCACCAGAGGGCAACCATAACACAGCACTCCAGAAAAAAATCTCATTTTAGACGAAAGACTAATTTTATATTAAGCTTACAGTTTTAAATCAAGTATTGGCGATCCTTCACATTGGATTCCATTTGTATTATATTTCAAAACAGAGAAATCATTTATTTCTCTTATTACTAACTGCTTTTAGAAATCATAACCATGAAAAGGATTTCTTTTGCCTTAAATTATCTTCAGAGCAAGGACAGGTTGGAATTTACTTAACATTAAAGACAGCTAGCTTATTGCTGCAAGGAAAATAAAAAGTTACAACCAGCAATGTGGACTGTTTCCTGGTCCCGCAAAAGATCTAGGGAGCAATTTAAATCAAGTCAGCATGATAAAGCATTTCTGCCATTACCCAGGATTGGAACTCATGTATTGTATGCATTTCCATTTACTTGTTCATTTATTTTTAAAAAACGTTAGTGAGTACTTACTATGTGCCAAGTTACATGCTAAAGATAGTGTACAATGGTGAACAAAACTGATGTGGAACTTACAATGTAGTGACTAAGCCATATGTGACTCATAATCACAAATAAATATACAATTATGAACTGTGATAAGTGCTATCAAAAAATACAAGTGTGTATAAATGGGAATTGTCATTTATCCTGGAGCATCAGGAACTGCTTTCTAATGCAGTTACCTTTAACCAAAGGCCTGAAGGCAGGATATGATTTATTAAGGTAAAGGGTCCAGGGTTGGGGATAGAGGTGTATTAGAAAGGCCATTCTAAGCATCCTGAATTTTTGTTGGGGAAAAGATTTCAAAATTAAAGACCAGAAATATTCATTGTCTTTAGTTTTTTAATACTTTAAGTTTGCCTAAATGTGGTTTTCTTGTTCTTATACTGCCTAGGAGCCTGGCCAGCGTGGCTCACTGGTTGAGCGTCGACCCATGAACTATGAGGTCATAGTTCGATTCCCAATCCAATCAGAAATTGAGATGGGTTGAGGATGATCCACAATCTCAGTATAAGTCAGTTCACCAATGGTTCATCACAATTCTTGGTCGTGGCCCTCTAAGACTTTGAATTGAGAACCTATCAGGCCTGAGTCTTCTCTACCCTGGAAGACTGCAACAGATACAGCACGTCCCATCAGGTGCTACTCGCACCTTCAAAATCTGGCAATGTCTTGAGAGAGAGATGGCTGTATGTTATAGCCAGTCCTCTTTAAAGAGATTTTTGTCTCCTAAGCACTACAAGACTGAGAGATTTATTTCTACCTTTTGGGCTAGCCTTCCATCTCCTACACAGTCAGCTAAGGTCCTAAGAGAAAAATGGCCTTGTGTTTAGAGCTCCTCTAGTTTCCAATCCATCACACAAGCCCCAAATGACTGCCAAAATCTCTTCTTGTGTCTCTTTCCTCAAAAAGCATTCCTTTGCTTGGGCTAACCTCTGTTCCTTAGCCTTTGCCCAGAATCAGCAAATGTCCCCTGGAAAGGAAATGGCTATGATCATCAGCTCACGTAGAAAGAGTTCTACACTTTCTGGAATTTTAGTTCATATCATCCTCTTTGTTTCCACAGCTCTCCAACCAATAAGATTTTTGAAATTTATTTGTATGGGTTTTTTTCAAGTTTTTGTTGCAGGAGTTTGGCTTGCTATACATCCCACTTAAAGGAGAAAGACCCTTACAAACTATTTAGAAAGAATCAACCTATAGATGAAGGACCTCAAAATAAAAAGAACAATGGACTGATTAAAAAAAGATACGGAAAGTGTGTGTACCTGTGAGGGCATCACAACTGGTAGATCGATTATTGCATTGGCAGGGCAAGCAGCCACTCCTACTAAAGCCATAATATCCATCTTGGCATCGATCACATGCAGAGCCGGTGACACCCACTTTACACTGGCATTTCCCAGAACTGCAAATAAAAGCAAAGACAATAAGCAAAGTAAATCAGTTTAAAATTGTGTTGCTAACATCCCATCATACGAGGATCTTAATGTAGAAATTATTTCAACTAGAAGTATTGGCCTTGTGTTTAGGGCTCTTCTAAATAGTATGACTTTTGGCTGTACCCCACATGTTTTTCCATAAATATTCAATTAACATAGTACTAATACTAATAATTTGTGACAACTTAATCCTCTATATTTAGGTAGCTTAAAATAAATGATAAAGGAGCCATGAAGAATATAAGTCCCAGAGCTTAGAAATCGTTGTTCATTAAGTACTGGGGCATAGAACTGATACTACTGCTACATCTCATTCCTAAATCATTCCACAGTTCCACCAGCATCCACACTGCCCAATCTGGAGATGAAAAGAAAAACTACCTAGCCTTCACCCAACCCTAGCTTCTGGATGAAGAATATGAAGACCAGGATCTTAATGAAAGTATCAACTAATATCCATTTAGATGCTGGAAACTTGATATAATTTTCTACTTTAGGTACAGGCTATATTAAAATATATCTGGTAATTTAACTGGAATTCACAGTTATGTAAAATGACTATATGGTGACATCTATCACTTTCTGGGTTAAATCCATATAAAAATTATAGATTATCAAACCCAAAGGTCTAAAAATCGAAAGAAAAATAGTTTATTTAGTATCCCAACTCTTCCTATTAATCTATTTACTTTTTCTTAGATGACCATTACATTAATATCACCTCTTTCCAATCAGTGAAACTTAAACCTCTGCTGTCATTTTCAAGTCCTCTCGTTCTTACAATCACTCACTCAAATCCAGTATTTCACTAATTTATGTCAAATTTTCTTTCAAAATATCTCTTGGTATTGTTATTTCCTCTACAAACATTTATCTTAGAATGTCTTTCCTTCTCCACCTCTCAAAAATTTCCTGCTATCAGGCTCATCTTTTTCTATGCAACTTTTCTCCAAAGAGATCTTTTGGCTTCCTGACTTCACATTCTCTGCACCATAAATGTTAACCTTAACTATGGTCTGTTCTATATTCATTCATATATATATATATATATATATATATCTTGCTTCTCTAATTACATTGTTAAAGACCTGAGGCAAAGACTGTATCATGCAGGGTTTTTTTTATTATCCTCAAGACATAGCAGAAGCCTATGGATAGTGTACTATAACTATTTTCATTTCATACATCTTACTTGGTAAGTTTTCTGAGTCCAGGGACTGTGCTTAGCCATCTTAATATCCTCAGAGTCTAGTACAGTACCTAGTTTGTTGTAGGCACCTAATATATACTTGACAAATAAATGGACAATAAATACACAAACTGAATTTTAGAGCTAAGTACTGTAAGGGAAAAAGGTGAAGGGCTACACTAGTTACCCTTCAGAACAGCTAAGATTCTTCCCTTTTTTTCCAACAGTATAACCCTTCGTTATGTGCTCATTCTGTATCTCAAATTTTTAGGCTGCATCTGAGTAGATTCTGGCACCAGTGATATTGAATGGGAGACAATCCAAGGTAGAACTGCTTCTCAATATAATTTTTTTAGAAATTCAGCTCCTAATAATGAGTCCCATGGTGTTGTTAGTTTTAGTTCAGGAGCCCAAGCTCAGATTGTTAGTACTTACACTTATCATCAGTTAAAGTAATCCCCTACTATTTCCCATATTCCTATTTCTGTAGTAAAAACGGAAGTTCTAAATTTGAGAGTTATTGGAACTTTGGGTTAAACTTTGCAGAATGGAAGTAAAGCAACTTTCAACTCTGTGTATTCTACTTGTAGCATACAAACCTAAGAATTATCGTTGTATGTGAGATAATATATAAATAAATAGAAGCCTGGCTTCCAAAAAGGAGTAGAAAAACAGATCTACATGGAATGTTTTTTAGGGTTTTCCTCAAACAAAACCAGTCCAGAAGGGAAAGAAAGCCAGGCTTCTATTTATAACAGATCTTAAAGTCTTGTATCCTGAGAAGTAACCTATCAACATCTTTCTATCTTAAAGCTGCCTAGTATATTGGATTGGTTATTCAATTTCTTGACTAACAAATAATTTACAGAAAATGTAAAATGGAAGCATCTGAAAGCAGGCGTGATGATTATGATGATGATAAAAACAATGAGCCATCGTTCATTGAGGGACTGTCAATTATATATTCTCTCTAATCCTCAAAATAACTCTACTAGGTGAAGGTCATAATCCTATTGAGGAAATGCAGACAATTTAAAATTATTGTCCACACCTAGCAATTATTTATACAAAGATAGACTATCCCCCTATACCATGCTACTTATCCTTCCCTAAGTTTGACTCTAAATTTCTACAAGAAATTTGCCTGCCAAGCAACTTGACACCCCTTGAGTATCAAGCTTCATTATGTAGATTCCAAGCACCACAATTCACCATTTATTTAAGTTCTAATCCCAGTGAGCTGTTTCTACCTTACCCAGGATAAACCTCCATCTCTCTTCTCACTGCCAGTGAATTTTAGGACTTCCTAAACAAAAGCTAAGAGGTCTTAATGCTTGAAGAGAAACTGCCTAGCAAAGTCCAAGGTTCTCAGAAGATAAATCCCAAAAATTGTGATGCTTAGTTAAAGCTTAATTAAAATTAAAATTTGTACTGATCATATTATAGAAGATGAGCATTGTTTTTAAAATACTATAGAAATTGATTATTAACAACCATATCTCTTAAGTAACTTTTCAAAAAATTTAAAGAGAAAAGAAACACCTCCCACATATATATATGTATGTGTGTGTATATAGATATAGATATAGATATAGATGATATAGATATAGATATAGATATAGATATAGATACAGTCTCACACAAAACTATCCCAAGTTACTTAAAGATCTAGTAACATAAATGTGTGTTCATCAAAATGAACTTCAGGAATATCTTATGACTCAACAAGAAGCAACCAGTCAACTTAAGTCTTGCTATATTGTCAGAAAATTATAAAGGATATAATGTACCTTTCAGAGAATGGCTAACAACAGTTCACTAGTTCACTAGCCAAATTCCAAAGCTTTTAAAACATTAACTAAAATAAGCTTGCTTCTCATTTCTCTACAGATATTAGATTATTCAGTATATAGAAGAATAGTTATTTTTAATGACAGTGTTTGCCCAATCCACCACCTATAAGAAAAAGGTTTTATTCTTAGAATACCTAATAATATATTAATAATTAATATTGTTAATTAATAATATATTACTACTATAAGGTACAGCCAGTGTTCTCAAAGCAGATGCTATTCTTTTAAGTGGATTTTCCTTTTGTAGTTCTGCTCTGGGCACTCGGAAGACTAATTTAAGTAGGCATCTTTCTCCCTGGAGTATATGCTCCTTAGCTGATGATTTTTAAAAAAATCCATGAATGGCTTTAAGAATCTTGATAAAGCAGTTAACTAGTCTAGACACTATGCTTCACTTTTCTTGGGTAGATTTCAGAACAACAGGAAAGGAGATGCTTTTTTCTCTCTTTTTAACAAAATATACAGAATGGAGTGGGGAAGTTTAATTGTGAGGCTGCTCTAGTAGGCTTTTCCACCATGCTACTCATGGCCCATGGCCAAGCTCTGCATGTATAAGAATTAAATCACTCAGCAAATATAAAGCTTTCCCTGTGTGACTTCTTTTATAGAATAAAGCCTTTACAACACCCCCTTTCATGGTATCCCTCTGTTAAAAATTGCTGAATGCTTTTTGAAGCAAAGGTCAATGGTATAAATGCAAAGAAGAAAAAAAAGTGGGTCTGTTAACAAACCACTTATGCTTATCCATAGGTTTGAAATGAAAGAACCAAAGACTCACATATTCATACCTAGAGAATAAGAGCAAACTAGAATTTGAATAGAAGTCAGAAATCTATACTACTGAAATAAACTAACAAAGAATTTAAGATAGAATTGCTCATCTGATGTCACTCTTTATAGATATGAGTTATCTGCTAGTAAAGTATAACATGGTATAGAGAATTATATCAGGAAAAAAAGAATATATATATAATTAATTTTAAAGTAAGCACAAGCATTGTGGAACTAAGCTGCACTAAGTATAACTACAAATATACTACACATATCTTACACTATCCCAAATGGAATTCTCAGATTTTCTTATGGTGTAAGTGCTTAGAGACTTTATCACAGTGATAGGTATGAGCAACTATTACAAGGTTTGAACACTTAAAAATGATTTCTTAATATGTAAACAAGTAATGTTTTCTGAAATGAAATTATTAATATTTCAAAAGGAAATTCAATGGTGTATCATCTCAAGATAGGGTACATATTTATATCATACAAGCATTAACCAAAATGCCCTTTTAAAGGTTTTGTTTTGTTTAAGATGAATGGGTGGAGAATCTTCAGAATTTCCATTGTTTTATCATCACACTGGCTAGGGTGGGAAGGGTGGGACACAGGAAGGGAGGTATCAGGGTCTATGGAAAATTCATAGCCTAAGGAGATAGGGAGAGCAAATTTCAGTTCTGCTAGTAACTAGCTGGGACCAAGTATTTATTCCATCTTGGATTCAGCATTCTCATTTGTAAAATGAAGGCAGTTATACCAAACTCTGTATGATTATTGTGAGAATTAAAGATTGCATATTGCATATGTCTGGCACATAATCAGTACTATAAAAAATGAAAGGAATATGAGGATAATAACAATGTCCTAGAGCTTGAATTTTTTTCCTGAGAATTGTAAGGAGAATGGGTTGGATCTCTAGTAGGCAAAGATAGACTAAGTTATTTACTTTTCAAATTCTGTTAACTAACTTAGAAAAATTGAAAGAATTTATATGGTAATTACTAGATTGAAGCCAATGTGGGTAGGAAAAGAAAGCATATTATTAAACACATGGTAGAAAAGGTTTTGGGGAAGAGAATTAAAAATTGAGAAGGGCAAGGATCAGCAACTCCTACATTAGGCAGGACCAAAGCCAGGGAGACCTGAT